AAGTCCAGCAGCACCAGCTCCTCCAAGTCTTCCTCAAAGTCCTCTTCCCACTCCTCGTCCCGCAGCTCCCGCCACTCCTCCAAGGACAAGGACTCCAAGTCAAGCCGCCACCGCTCCTCGTCGCGCGTGCTTGCTTGCCTGCTTGCCTGCTAACCAACCCCCTAGGATTTTTCGGAAGTATCGTGAGTGTGGAGCCCCCCCCCCCCCCCCCCCCCCACCCCCCCCCCCCCCCCCCGGCAACAGCCTCCCTACCCCCCCCCCCCCCCCCCCCTCCCCGCGGGTTTGCTGCCCCCCTCCCCCGCAACCCCCCCCCCCCGAGTTTTTGGGAGAGCTGTGGGGGGGGGGCCCCCCCCCCCCCCCCCCCCCGAACGAGCACACCATCAATCAGCCAAGAACCTGTGCGTTTTTCCTTCCCGCTGTGGAGAAGGGGGGCCGACCAACTCAAATTCAACACGTCGTGGAAAGTTTGAGGTCCACCTCACGATAAGGCTGATTTGTTTCTCTCCCGTCGGCATTTACCCCCCCAAGGTAAGGTAGTGTTGCTAGCTCCATCCCTGGAAGAAGGGAGAGTCCCACGATCGTTGAGTTTTCCGCGATGATCGTCGGTACAGCTGTCATTTGTCTTTCCTAACGCCAAAATAACATGAGATTACTGGTTCGGTGTGGAAAATGGCTCGGGCCGAAAGATGATTTCTTCGCCCTCCCCCCCCCCCCCCCCCCCCCCCCCCTTCCCCCCCTTCTTTGACCCCCATCACTTTGACCTCCTGCTCGAACACCCCATGCCTGTGCCACCAACCAACAGAAAACTCCCAAAAGACACCACCAACACTCACAAACACCACAACAAACAAACCGCCCCACCCCCCCCCCCCCCCTCTCCGCCTTTTTCCTGATAATTGGAAACCATGTAAGTGAAGCTGCGATGGCAACATTCCAGGCCTTGGCATCAAGTCATAAGACAACCTTCCAAAGGAGCCATTCAATCATTGCAACTGCAACCATGACACAAGACCTCGAGACCGAGTGTCACCTACAATGTCAACAGCATAACCTTTCTGGAATGGTGGGAGAGCAGCCTCACTTCCCCAGATTCCCATAAACTCACCAAGATTCACAAAGGCCACCGTCATGTTGCATTCCACAAGGCTCAAACAAGAAAAGTGACGTAACACAAAAGACGTGTCTTTTCTCTTTGGATTCTATCCTGCGAAACTTCTTTGTCTGATCTGTCCTGTCTACCGGGGAATTCCAGAGTCCAATCCCCAAAAATCATCTTTCTGTCCGTCCCACTCTATCCTCTTTTTGCTAGTCTGGTTGCCCAAAGCCACCGAGGGGCAAACACCCAAAACCATTGGGAAAAAAAGAACCTCTAGTCCAAATCCCCAAATCTTTTGGTTTCTTCCTGTTGACTCCTGAAACTACCTTGCCTGCTTTGAGAACAAACACTTGCGCGAGAGAGAAATGATGGCTGACAGACGAAAGTCAAGAGGGCTGAATGGGTGCTGTGCGACCCTTGGACCACTGGGGGGTATAGTCCCGGAAGACTTTTGTCGGATCGGTAAAAGGAAAAAAAAGCAATGACACTAAGAAATCGGCACGAAGTCGCCGTAGTGTAGGCGACCATGTCGGAGCAATGATGCTGGTTCCACTGGTATCACGTCTGCCCATGGCAAATATACCGTCTGTGTGGATCAGCGATGCTCTTCATCGTAGCTGCATGACGGGACGCAGCCCGCAAGCTCAAGACTCGCCAGGTACATGCCAGACCTACCCCAAGGCAACGCAACAAAGCAAAGCCCGGGTAATGGCCACATTGATGTACGGGCTTAGTAGCAAGTGTAACCACCATCGATGATGACGTTGGAGCCAGTCATGAAGCTGGAGGCATCAGAAGCCAGGAAGACGCAGAGACCGTTAAGGTCGTCGACAGCACCAAGGCGGTCCTGGGGAGTCAGGGACTTCCAGATCTTCTTCTGGGCGTCAAGGGCAGGGACTCGGTTGAGGGCAGTGTCCATGTAGCCGGGGGAAATGCAGTTGACGCGAATGTTGTACTTGGCCCACTCAGCAGCAAGGGACTTGCCAAACTGAATGACACCAGCCTTGGAGGCGTTGTAGCAGGACTGCTCCTGGGGGTAGTTGACAATGCTGCCAGACATGGAGGCGACCAGGATGATGGAGCCAGGCTTGCCAGCCTTCATCATGGCGCGACCAACAGCCTGGGACATGAGGAAAGAACCAGTCAGGTTGATGTCGATAAGACGGCGGAACATGGCGGGGTCGTAAGTCTCGGCCTTGATGTTGGAGCTGTTCAAAAGAAGAAGTGTTAGTGGGTCTCGCTAAGCGACAAGGGGCGAATGCTCAGGTGCTATGCGTTTTGTGCACGCTGCATTATGGGGATTATGACGTACTCAGCGATACCGGCAGAGTTGACAAGAACATCAGGAGCGCCGTAGAGCTCAACCACGGAGTCGACTGCAGCGTTAATGGCAGCGCCGTCACGGACATCCACCTTAAAGAAGGTGACGGGCAAGCCAGTCTTCTGGTGCAGCTCGGCAGCAGCCTCGTCACCCAACTCCTGGTTGGCATCGAAGATGACCAGGGCCTTGGCACCAGCCTCAGCGCAGGCACGAGCCATGTAGTTACCCAGACCACGGGCACCACTGTGAACAGGAAGTTAGTCGTGATGTTGTTTGACAGCTCTTGTTTTTTTAGGGGGAAATAATCAATTGAAGCAATGATCTCGCAATTGACGACAATTGAAGGGGAGAAACGTACCCAGTGACCACAATGGTCTTGCCCATGACAGAGAGCTTCTGCATCATGGGAGGCATGGAGTCGAAGGTCTTACGGGTGAGGGGGACGACATCGTCATTCTCAGGGCCGGGAACAGGGGACTCGGTGGGAGGGCGAGAGTCGTGCTCGCGGACGGGAATGGAGAAGTGGTCGGATTGACCAGTGCCCTTAGCATCGGGAGCGTAGACAGAGACAGGAACCTCCTTCTCGCTGACAACGTCGCTCTTGAAGGCGCGAGCAGAGACGGAGAAGGGACGGGCAGCCTGGCTGCGGATGGCGACGCGGGGAGCGAAGCGGGTGGTAAGACGGAAGGCAGAGCGAGCGGCGGCCATTTTTGCGATCGATCAGGTGGTGATGAGTAGGATACGAGGTAGGGTTGTTTATGGTAGGGAGGAGGGGAAGAGTTGGTCAACGCGAGAAAGGTATTGACCGGTGATGAAGGTGCGAAGATGGAAGAGAGTCGCAGAGATTCGCAGAAGTCGAGCTTGATGGGAAGAAAAACAATGATGGAATGCGAATGTGGGTGGGAAAACAAAAGTTGGACGGACAAGCAAGTGGAAGGAAGTAGGTGTCCAAGTTGATATAGGTAGGTCCAAAGGGGGGAAAGGGAAGGTGTGGCCCGTGTAAGCTACCTAAGGTAAGGAAGGAAGGGACCGACAGTCGAGACGGTCCAAGTGAGGTAAGCTTGGGAAGGTACAGTACGGTATTCGTAGCGTAAGAAAAGGTAGCTGAAGTGGAGGTACCTTGTGTTCGCCGGCGCAGGATGATGTGAGGCAGAACGAAGAGTTGGTGGTTTATTGTGCGTGCCTCACCTTAAAACGTTGATCACCCAGCTACCTTGCCTTACGCTGAGCTGAAGTGGAGGAGAGCTGTCCGTATCGGTACCGTCACTAAGGTAGCTTCGTACCTTCCTAGTGTTGCAAGTGATGGACGTGGAGATTCTGAGCGTGGCGTGCGGCGATTGCGGAACCGTTCTAGTGCGCGCCAGGGGTCCCAGTTTAAAAAAATAAATAAAACAAATATCTAATCACTCCATCCATGAGAAATTCCTGGTGCTGGAGCTCATGTGGGCGTCGACGCGGTGAATGGCATTGTTTCGGCCAGTCGGGATGGCGATGCTGGCTGGGCGAGACGGGCAATTGGGTGACCTGGGCACACCCACTTCCAACATGACTGCGGCTCTACTCTGTTAAGAGACTGCAGATGCTGCATACAGGGGGTGTGGCCACGGGGGTTCTCTCGCTCGGGATTGGGGGCAACAAGATGCAGAGAACACCACCTCACACCACGCGCTTGGGCGACCACGAAGCGGGAAGCACCTGGATTGGCCTTGCCTGGCCAGCTCGCGGGATGAATCCGAAGGCTACAGATCCGGCGAGCGTCACCTTACGCTTGGCAGGAGACGGAAGGTTTCGAAGCATTCGAAACAGCGGCGATTGTGAGTAGGTAGGTACTCCGTCAAGCTGTATCCGCATACGAAGTACTAATTGAGGCTTGATAGAAATGGCAGGGCGATGCGACTGAAAGGGGTCCCGCCCTTTCCCAGCGTCCCTACCTGGTTCCTTGAGGCCAGTTTCCATGAGCGTGTCAGTTTCCAGGACACCTCTCAGCGTCCTAATGGCAAGAGCGGCCCCCATGGTGACCCTAGCAAGGTGTTTGTTTGGCAATCTGGCCGTACTTTTGCACCGAACGGCAGCACCAATACCTTTGGGTTCAGCATCCCATGGAAATCTGGTGTGGACGGGAGTGTGGTGTGGAAGCTGGGATGGTCGACGCTAGCAATGAGGTGTGGAGTGCAGCTTGCAGGCCTGGTGGGTGGCGGCTACTCCGTCCTGCACCTTGCCCGGCTTCCTGTCCGTCAAGCCATCCGGGATGTCTTAGCGTGGAGGACCCCCATGTGAATCCACTCTACCGTAAAATGGGGCCAAGTTGAGAGATCCTGGATATCTACTGTAGCGTTTGAAAAGGTGCAAATACGTCACCGCTGCTTGTTTGACCCGCCGCACGTCCGCCGCCTCACACCCGCCGCCACAACTCAAAGAGCAGACGAGACGAAAGATCAGAATTGGTTGAGTCTGTCGAGCTCATTAGCTTGCTCATGGTCCCTGAGTCTTGACAATGAGGCTATCAACATACTGCATGAATGTCGGGTCACGGTGACAGCGCATCCGACTGCACCTTGCCGGTCCGATGGGTCTAGATGGGATGAAAGTCGCCGCTGTTGTTATCTTTGCGACCAAAGGCAAGCGAAAAAAAAAGAGAGGATGCCAAAGCTTAAGTCCAAGTCGCTTTGCCGTTGCTTATTGTGTGTACTGAAGATAAGGCTATGATACCAAGGTCACCAGCACCGCAAGCGCATTCCGTAAGTTTAGGTATGGAGGGGAACTGCGTCTCGGGCGTCATTTCCTAGGCCATGGTGTTGGAAGATTTAGAACAACGACATGTCGCGCTGCAACAATTATATGGGGACCCTGCTTGGTGACAGCAACTCTCCGACTGAGCCGACAGTGCTGAAAATTGCTCTCTTCGTCTTGTCATCTCATATGGGAATTGGTTCCCAAGCCATGCCCTCTGTCAGGTATTGTGTGTCGGATGCCGATTCTTACAGAGTTGTGTCCCCGTATTCGATGGTCGATGAGCCCCCCTCCATTATTTCAGTCTCATCCGGACGAGTCTCCAACATCTGTCAGCTTCAGTCGTCAACTCTGTAGGCTGACCGGTGCACTTTTGCATCATAACCATTGTCTACATGTCAGAAGGACCCACAACGGCCACTTTTAGCTGTAACTCCACAGATAATGACGGGCTTTGCGGACCCCTATTTCTTACGGATCTGAGTTGATGCAGCAGGTGTGACGATTCAGGATTACTCCAGTCTGCCAAACTCTCCATTTTCCCGCCTAACAACGGTACCAACGGCGCGAAAGCTACGCAACGGCTTAGGTGGCAAATACTCGTGTGTCGATCACTGCTTCGCTTGTCCTAAGGACTTTGTTCTGACTAGCCTGCGGGAATGAACTGACGCTATGATGCTGACAATGGAGGTTGAGTCGCTCCAGATCGTTTCTGAGAGCATGTTCTTGAGTCTTTGGGCTGGAAAAGAGACTTGCGCTGCAACCTGCCTCTATCTCGAAGAGCATGACGTTGCGTTGCCGCCTTCTAATCGTTTAGACAGCTCGCCATCCAGCTTAATTCCGGCAACGAGCTCAGACCAACAAAGTGTTCCCTGATGATTGAAGCTATGTGTCGGGTCGCAACTTCGGTGCGGGCCGAGTTTCTCAGCCAGTTGGCTTTGAATAAATGTTCTCCATACTCGTAGTCGTAGAGGCTCGTCGTTCGAAGGCGCCACAATGACTTGCTTCGCGACTCGGTGCAGTGTCATGCAGGAACGACAATTGGCTCGACCCCCAGCCTGTAGTCTCATGAGCGCGTGTCTGAGATGCAATGCAAGCTTGCAAAGGTCTCAGATGTTGTCCGCCTCCGATCTCGCTCCGCACGAAGGCTTCTTGGTTTTGATGAGCGTGTCTTTGAATGCCTGGACCGTGTCCACGAAGCTAGCGACGCAAGACTGCGGAATGGCTGTAAGTCAATGGTCAGCTGAATCGAAAAAAATTGATCATATCATGGCGTCTGGGGAACCTGGGGATGCGCGCATGTACAATCTCGTTTTCCGTCATCTTTGATCTTCCTGCCAAGCGTCAATTGTTCCTCTACCCCGTTCAGAGTTTTGCAAGCTGGCAAACGGACTAGATTGTCACTCCCAAGTGCATAAAAAGGTAGAGGTATGCGTTGCAAGTTTGTCGCAAATCTGACCTGTATATATAGATGGCCGGCCTTTGGGGTATACACAGCAGCGACGGTGCGAGACGTCGATTTGCCCGTTCAAGAGCCAGTTCTCGAGCCTGGTGAGAGCCCAACCGCTTGCCCATGTCTGAGTTGACAGTTAATCTGTATCCTTGTGGACTGGCAAGACTAGGAATCCGTATCTCGGTTTCGACTCTAAAGTATTGTTCCCAAACTAAACGGCGCGTCTCATCCATACAGCGAAAAACGTGGGACAGAGCAGTATCTGGTGTTGCTAGGGTGTCTGCGGCAGGGGTAGCTCTGGTAGTCTTCCCTTAGATTTGGCATTCTCGAATAGCGCCCTCACCGTCGTGTTCCGCTTGTGCCCCGGCCGACTAACAGGGAAGCTTTGGCATTCTGGCACATTGGTTCTCAAGAGCCTCCAGGGCGGTCTGAGTATAGCCCAAAGGCTCGTCTGTGCGCCGGATACCGTCCCGTCACCGTCAGGAACCACTATTGCCTTGGGGCTGTTGGGTGCCAGACGCTGTGCTGCTGGTCTAAATTTGGTGCGAGTGCTCCATTCTTCCTGGAAGCTACAATCGTCTCAGCGTAGTCGGCCGGCGCCGGTAGCAAGGGTTGACAGCAGAAGATCCCTAACTGAGGCTGCATCCCAGCCTCGGGCGATTTCCCACCTGTGTCGTGATGTGCTTCGTACTGAAGCGGCTGTGGGGTTTGATATTGGATTTTCTATTATTGCTTCGTTCTCCGTAAGTTCTCCTTAAAGGTGCCAAGATGACCGTGGGAAATGGACGTTGCGCCGTCAGGCAGTAGATGCTTGTAGGTACCGTTGTTGGTTCGCCCTGTGTAGCTTGATTCGTCACTGGCCAATCTTCCCGATGGTTGGTTTTCTGTGGTGGTTTGCTGTCACGGAGCTGCTGACGAGGGCGTGTTAGCGTTCCATACTAAGCTACCAACAGGGGCAATGTGGTTCTAGCTGGCATATTAAGACAGAGCGCCGCGGATCCTGTTCCTGTGCCGTCCCGGCAAGGCGGGAGGAACAGTCTAGGCTCTCTAGAGTATCGGTAGACTAGTGGTGGACGTAGAGAAAGGGGAGGTTCTCATCGTGGGAATGTTTGGGGGACGTGGGCGGGAAAAGGAGTTAGCTGCGCCTCGCCGAAGCCCTCTCTGGTACCATGTCACCATGTCTCTGCCAGGCATATTAGAGAGGATCTCGGGGAAGGAGCTAAGCTCTGGAAGTGGCATGCTGTGACTGGGGTGTCTCATCAAAAAAATTGGTCAGATGATGGACAAGATTTTCAAGGAGCTGGGCATCCGTAACCCGTAGGTCGGCTCGGTTCAAGCATCCCTGGAAAGAGCGAGGAGGGCAAGTGCAGACAGGTCCGAAGTAGCTCTCACTTTCTTTTCTCAAAGACGGAACTGAAAGCGTGCAATGACTGTCGCCTGCCGGGGCACTGATACGAGTTGAGCAAGAGTCGTGGGGGGTTCGTTTGCCAAAAAGGAAGCAACGCCTGAGTTACCTAATAAGCAC